TATGTAGGGATTGTAGGGTATATATTGGAGTTATATTGGGATAATGGAAAAGAAAATGGAAACTACAGGGACTATGGGGCTTATATAGGGATTGTAGGGCATAGGACCCCAATGATGTACTTTGCCCATTTGGGGATACTATAGGGCTATATTGGGGATATCTGGGGATAATGGAAAAGAAAATGGAAACTATAGGGATTCTAGGGTTTTATTGTATTTTATTTGGGGATACTATGGTACCCCAATAATGGGAAATCGAATGGAAAAGAAAATGGAACATGACATGGAAACTGGGATTATAGGATTTATAGGGGTTATATAAGGGTTATATATTGGGGCTATATAAGGATACTGGAAAAGAAAGTGGAAACTAGTATTTACTTAGGGTTTGGGGTTCAGGGTTTGGGGTTCGGGGTGTAGGGTTTAGGGTTTCGGGTTGACGGTTTAGGGTTCAGGGTGTGGGGCTTGACGGAAGAGGCAAACTTGGGGATTGTATAGGTCACTATAGGGATCCATCGCAGCTTAGGATGTTGCCAACATTTGGTGTGGAGGGCTGAACACAAGGATCTACTTTTTTTGACTTTCGCTTGCTAGTAGGGTGTGCTACCCTGGGACCTTTGGTATCAGCGCATCCCATATTTGGAGCAAGCCAGAGAGGTTTTCCGTCACAAGGCAGACCAACAATATTCACTTCACTAACCAGACCTGTGCTGGGACCGTTGGAGCCTCAAAAGATCACCTCGCGTGTGCTTAAAACATGCCAAGCTTGCCTCAAGTCCCAGGTTGACAGTCTTCTTACAGGAGCCCGCAACAAACCTCTCAAGCAACAAACCTCTCAATTGCACAATCCTTTGCCCATTAGCCTGGCAGCCTATCCCTAAACCCTAAACCCTAAATAGTAGTTTCCATTTTCTTTTCCATTATCCTTATAAAACCTTATACTACCCTATATTATCCCAATAATAATGTACAATGTAATAGTTTCCATTTCTTTCCCATTATTCCACACTCCACGCTCAAACAAGGAAAGGACGCCTCGTTGTGGCTCTGAGGCCAGAGGCCCAGGGACCCGGGCCACATGTAGAGCATTGAGGAGCGAATAGCTCGTTTTGCTTAATGCTTGTTGGTGGCGGTATATGCGAAAATTGTGGTTTTGCGTGTAATACTTTCTGCTTCCATGTGTCTGTGATTTACATACTTCATCACTGGCTTTTGTCCCCACCGCATAGTGGCCCGGAACGAGGTGCGGATGCGTTTGGGAATACAATGGAATACACATTTTGAACAAGACATAGTTACGGTGTTTGATGCACGAGGCCAGGCTTGCAACGGAGTTGGAAGAAGGCCTTCGGGAGAAGAACCTGTTTGAACATCTTCTCTTGGAATTCAAGACGTTTCTGTTTCGTGCCTATGACCAGCATCGCTTGGTGAAGCTGTATATAGCTGACCCTTGCGAACAACTCGACGCATCATGCCTTGGGCAAGGTAAGCCTTTCCTTTTCGCTCGCCTGCCTGATCAGCATGAATCCCATGATTTGGGGCGATCCGATCACTAGAAACTTGTTTCTTGGGATATGGCATGATGCTCGAGAAGGACACATTCGCAGTAGCTGCATGTGTGGTTGGGCAAGACCTTCTCCATTTCTCGACGGCGAAGCAACAGCAGAAGGGTGTTCTCGGGAAAGCTTTGCCTGAGCAAGCTGGGACCCAGTGAACACGCCTACGTCTGCTTTGCTCAGTATGGCTAGCAGAAGGCTGATGATGTAGGTTCTGAAGCTAGAGTGGTGGGACCGTCAAATAGAAGCAGACTGTGAAGCCAGGAAACGGAGGGGACTGGCATCGTCTTTTGAATTGTAAAGGCGCTGACTTTCCGAGCCTCAGCGCTATAGTTCCCGATGTTGCGCTTTCAGATTTTCATTCCGGCTATATCTTTTGCCTGCTTTTTCTTGATGTCAGCTGTGCTGTAAAGTTACACAGACCTGCTGCGCGTTTGGCAGGATATCTTCAGGGCGTGCAATGGGGCCCTGAAGGTTCAGAATCCACTCTAGGCTTAGCCTGGGCCGAGTCACGAGGCTTGTGAACTGGGCTGTGGTATCAAAAGTAGTAAGAACAAAGCTGGCAAGAAGAGTAGCAAAAATAATGGAAATTATAGCTAAGAGTTTTTGTAATAGTAACATAGCAGGGGAGCTGCATCTGGTGCCGGATTCCATACCCTGCTGTATGGGTCTCCTCGTTGTTTTGCTGAGGCTTTCCTGTTTTGGCTATGGTTTACTTGGAGGGTCAGGGGACTTAGTAATTAGGTTAATAAGGGGGATAGCTAGGGCTACTATATGGGTTATAGGGGTTATTAACCTACTTACTAAGTACCCCTGGCCCTAAACCCCATACCCTAAATAACAAGGTAGTTTCCATTTTCCTTTCTGTTATTACTATATTAACCTACTGTCTGAGTCCCCCCGGCCCTCCATGTAGGGTTTAGGGGTTTGGGTCTCGGGTACTGTATCAGCTTGCGAAGCTGCTTTGCTCCATCTGCAGCCTGGTTCGGTGTAGCCTGTGGCTGTCACTCTTCCCAACAGAGAAGTGTGATAGGTCCTTTGCCTATGAAGAAACAGCTCCAGGATTTGTGCTTACTGGGACCATGTGAGGTACCCAAGGTGCAGAAATCCGGTGACAGGGGGCCTTCGGAAAAAAGCGAGTTTTTGCGAGCCTGACATTCTTTCAATATCCAACCATTAAATCGCTTCACCCTAAGCCTGGAAGTTAAACATCAAAAGCCATGTTCAATATTTACCGGTGAGATACTGCTGGTGATGGAGATTAAAGTAAACATTGCAACCAGCAGCAACAGAACAGTCTCAGATGCCGTCAATTAGTCCTCACAGTCAACGCCAAATGCCTACATTTGTCCAGCCAAGCTTGCTATATCCACAGCGTCCATTTGTGTTCTGATAATATTTTTTTCACCATATTGCTCTATTACTATATAACCGTTGTTGTGTCCTGCCTGACAGTTGCGTGGCTCATGGTGGCTGGCAACCTTCCCTGCATCCCTGAGCTGAGCAGAGAGCGTGGCCTGAGACATGGTTCTCTATTCAGCACTAAATTGGGAGCGTGTTAAGGAACTTAAGGTGAGTTACGTATTACGGGTATGTACTCGGTATATAGTGAATAATGCTGTTTCCTTACTATAGGCATTCGGAAAAAGTTCCTTAACATTAGCCCAGTAAGAGTAGCCTTGGGTGCCTGTACTTCGTTTCACTGGTGCGCAGACCATACTGACAAGGCACGGTATGGCCTGTTTCGAGAAAGGAGCGACGCACTCCAAACGGGTTGGTGGTCAAAAAGCGGCCCACATGTTTCCATACTTTTCTACATGCTTATGTAAGTACTTTAACCCCAATGTACACATGCCGAAGCTCTGCAATAATTCTCCCGCAACATGTCATTTCCAACACCATTCATCTACAAGGTTCCTGAAAATAATTTGTAATTTCTCTTTAGAGGGCAGTTTAGAGCAACTACGGGATGTTATCAGGTTATGTAGATTTTGCATGGTGACAACATAGGTGTTATTAATGAGGATTTTGGGAACTCTAACACCCAAAATATAGACCTCAAAACCATCATGTGGCTCTTGCAGGATCGTTGCTTTGGGGTTTGGCCTGGAACCAATATAACCCTAATATTACCCCAATATTACCCCAATATAACCCCAATATAACCCTAATATTACCCCATAATCAATTCAGGTTTCACATGTTCTCAAGCCGCCTGCAAGGCGACTCTGCCCCACGCTACGGAAAAGACTTGCTTGTCGTGATCCGCGATGCAGTGACCTGACTTTCATTATGCAAAGATAGGCGGAGATGTCCCGTCTCTGGGTATACGCTTATGAGGCTTTGCATGTAAGTCCTGTGCTTGACCATATGGGGCCCTGGAAGCCTCAATTTTCTGGCAACTCGGTTCTTACGAACAAGTGTTTGAGGGGTCTGAGTATTAGACAGACATATCGATATCCAGGCTACATTAGTCATTGTATTCATAGGTACAAGAAGGGGTGTCCGGCAAGCATGTCGGCTGAAAAGTCACAGATATTCTATAAGGTCTGTTCAACAGTTTCGGAAGTTGTGTTAAACTCTTGCTCAGGACTGGGAAGCTCCAGCACATGATGTTTCATGTAAAGTCTGCACGCAAAAACAAGCTTCCCACAAAGCAATGAAACCCGAATAGAGTGTTTCCCGAAACCTCGTGCACTGCAGTCTATCAGGACCCTCATGAGTGGCATAACTACGCTCTGCATAGTCCCGAGAAAATGCCAAGTTCGACCGCAAGTCCGTATCGACAGTCACCCACCCCCAAGCACACGAGGATTGTCAAAGCTATTCTGTATCCTATCCTATCCTATCTAGGCTTTAGGCTGCAGGGCTTGGGGTCTCAGCTGGAGGGGTTTGGTTTAGCTTCTGGTTCCAACTTATAAGTAAACCCTCCAAAAAGAAGATTCCACATCTTGAGATGCAAAATCGGGTGTCCACCCCTTTATATGCCCAACCTGAGTATTGTTAAACACCTGAGAATTCTACCCTAGATCCACAGTATCCTACGTCCGAAGCCGTAAACCCTTGGCAAATCCTAGGCGCAAAGCAAGCGCGCGGGCGAGATGGCCGTATGAGCCCTCAGATCTGTGCGTTTTAGATTATATAGGACTTATATGCTCCATAGTCTAAACTCCTTCAAACGGGGGTTATTTAGGGGACTATTATCGGTGTTAGTCCGGGGGATGCTAGGAGTTCAGGCTATAGCTCATATGGGCTACTGGACATAGGAGTCCCTCTTGAGGTTAGGTAAAATCCTTATATAGTCCCTAATATGGAACCCATGTCCAGTACATTCTGTAGGAAATGTTGGCTGTAGCTCATTTAGGGGTTAAAAGAGGATTCTTGAAGGATTATATGAGGTTATACAGGGATGGTAGAGATTATCTAGTTAGGGAGTATCCTATCAAGATTACCTAGGGATTATGGGATTACGGGGAGTATGTAGGGATCATATACGGATATATCGTGACAATACCTCGAATAAAGGAGAATCATATGACATGGAAAGGCGAAGTGAAAACGGCATGGAAACTGGGGTGTTCAGAGGAATACAGATATAGATCCAGAGCAGAGTGCCCAACACCCTTGACTTGGAAGCATATTTTTGGATAAGGCTAGGGGTCATAGGATCTCTAATATGAATTAAGGTGCTTACCTTAAGGGGAATTGGGCTCCAGAGAAATTTGGCGACGAGAAGGGAATCGAGAGCTGGTTCCTTGTATAATCCATTTTCCTCTTGCCTTTCCAGCGCCAGGACGTCTAGGTTGCATTTGGGCCATGTCCCGTTGTTGTTAGGAAGGAATGTTGGACCCTAGAGCAATTCAAAACATGGATCGGAGATCTCACGCTGAGGTTCTCTGGGTTCAAAGGTTTTGTGACAGCCCACATGGATCTGCTTTTCCTGAGTAGGAGAGTGCGCATATGTAACTGATGAGGCTATCGCGTAGCAACCTAGGCAAAGAGACAAGCGGTTCTTTCTGCTAGACTTGCGAGCAAGGGTTCTTAACGTCAAGGGCTGCATGCATATGTTCCATCTCGGCTGAGTCCAGTGCAAGCACTGACAGTGCTTTTGCAAAGTTGTGGAGCAGAACTATCTGAGTGGTGCGATAGATTTCTTTCCGAAAGACGGGTGCTAAAGAACGTCCCAAACCTGCGGAACCTTTCTCAAGCACTTCATACACATTAAGTCTGAGTGTTTTTCAGGCTCTGAGTTTTGGACCCTCAACCCTAAACAACCCTCAGTAGTAGTTGCCATATAGTTTTCCAATTCCTTTTCATTTGATTCTGCATTATGGGAGGGTAATATTTCTCTATATCGCATATATTCCCGACATAATCCCTACATAGTCCCTACATAATCCTCACACAATCCTCATATAATCCCTAGTCCCTAAACCCTGTGTACTCATTATACAGCCATATGGGGGTACCCTAAACCCTAAACCCGAAACCCTAAACCCTAAACCCTATGGGGGTAAGCTCACCATCCCCTCAGGCCAAGGCCATGGCCCCGATACGGAGCATAGAGGATGCAAAGATGGCAGCAGGCCCTCAGTCGGGTTTTGGGGGTTTGAGGGCTGTAGGGTTTTTAGGGAATTTTGGGGGCTGTAGAGTTTCAGGGTTTTAGGGAATTCTGGGGCTGTAGAGTTTTAGGGTTTTAGGGAATTCAGGGGCTGTTAGGGTTTTAGGGTTTTGGGTTTTTGTCTTGAGAGGCCTGGATGCAAAAGGGTTTTAGGAGTTAGAGTTTTGGTGTTGCCTGGGAGCTTAATGCACTTCGGAGGGTATATAGAGGTGATAAGGTTACATAGGGTTACAAAAGAATTACCTAGGGTTCATAGGAGATTATACAGGGACCTGGCACCTCTGTCTTGGTGAAACTGGAGAATCACATGAAAAGAGGAGGGAATATGATATGGACACGGGGTCTATGTTGGGTCCCCCTACTTAGGGAAACTACTTAATTCACCTCAGAGGGTAGTGGGATGTTCCGGGAGAGCTCCTACAATGTTTAGGGTTTTAAGGTTTAGGGTTTAGGGTTTGGGTTTAGGGTTTAGGGTTTTTTGTGGAGCGAGTTCAGTTCGTGGCTGGCAGTCTGTGCTGGTGGCTGCCCCAGCTTTGCAGGCCAGAGTTTGGATAGAATGCCTCAGAGGGCTCAATATGAGGGGTTTCCCAAATGAGGGCTACCCTTCAACCCATGATAAGGATTATAGTATTTGGGGGCCTGTACTGGGGTCTCCCTACTTTGGGGAACTACTATTTGGGCCCCCTACGTTGGGAAATGGCCATGTCGGACGTGTATGGAACCCTAAGCCCTAAACCCCTAAACCCTAAACCAAAAAAGACCTAAACTCCTAAACCCTAAACCTGCTCAAGCTTGCAGTCATGGCCAGTGGTAGGTCGGAGGTATCGGACCAAGGCTGTTGAGACCCATTAGGGCTATATTGGGGTTGTATTCGGGTTATCCAAACCCACTTACAGTATGTAGCTTGTAGACCGGACTTGCAAAGGGAGTTGTGGAATACCACCGTTATGTTGGATGTCCCAGTTTTATTTGATCTGATGTGCGTGGTAGGCTTCAGATCTTAGCCATTACATGCGTCACTGAAGTCTGGGCCTCCCGCTTGCGGTGCCATGGACTACTCCTCTGGCAGTGAGCTCGAGAGCATTGTGGAAGTGGACATTGCATCGGGTTTGGGTTTTGACAGGGTTCGCGTTCACTTGCGGCATGTACGCTCGGTACGTTTTCGGATGCATGAGGTAGAGGGGCCGGGCAGATGGGCTTACTGGAGCAGTTTTCCTGCAGGCACGGTGTAGGAGCAGGAGTAACTAGCATATGTGCCTGCAAAGGCAATGGGTGCTTGTCGAAATCATGGTCCCTTTTTGGATCCCTGTTATAATACGGCACCTAATATTTAGGGTACCCAAAAAGGGACCATAATTTTGACAACTACCCAAATTGCTGGTACATCTTGGAAGTTGCCGCAACTCATTTCTTGAAGGACAGCGGGCTCATCAGGAATGATGGTCCTGGCATTGAGGTGCCTGGGAGATGTTGCAGTTGACTACACCCTTTAAGAATTAGGGTTTAGGGTTTAGGCCACCATCCTTCCGTAACTTATTGGTGGTTAGTTGGCATTAAGGGAGTTTAAAATCCTTATATAATGCATTCCCTTACTATTTTTTTCCTAATCCCCAGTCCCCCCCGTAAGGTAAAGGGAAGCTTTAAATTGCAACGCCCATCATTTGACAGGTTCTGTCCCAGACCACCTGCTGGGAGAAGACATGTCTCTTTCTGGGAGGCTTCCTGGCGCTTGTGCAGGGTGTCTGGGCAGCAACTTGGGGATTTCGCAAAAATTGACGGTACCTTTTGTGGTGGTCCCCATGTAAGGATCCCTCTGTTTAGGGAGCCATCAGTTCGCAAACACACAACAGCAACGTAAGTAGAGGGGCAGGATGACTGAGCTTCTCGCAGACTGACAGCACAACCGTCCGGAACACTTCTTATTCAGCAATTGTGGAAAATATTCAGCAATTGAGGTTGCCCAATTCTTTAATATTTTCACACAGTTGCTTAGTACTTTCGAGGTTTCTACAGCAGTTGAAGCTTCGGCGTTCTGTGTGCAGTTGCTTGAATGGAAGGCGGGGCGTAGCTTAACAGCAGCAAGAACTACAGATTTACAGTCCTGGCAATAGTAACAAGTGCACGTAGGTGCATTATGTACCGTTCATAAACCCCACGCATATATGAACCGTGGCATGCATGTCTGCGCAAACATCAGTAGGATCCTGGGTAGGAAAGCACGCAAGGTACAGTCGAGTTGTAACTTCTTCGCCCCCTTAGCTAGCCACTGTTATAGATACCCTTCTAGAGTTTTGGAATTTACCTACCTAGCATTACTTGGCCACCTGATCTTTATAAACCGCTGCATACCACCGGTTTCGATTTTTGTTTTTTCTTTGCATTCTTGGGGTAACGTCCCTAAACCCTAGGAAATCACTGCATAATCCTAAACGTTCCCTACATGATCCGTTAAACCTTAAAACCATGTTTCGTCCCTTGAAGCCACCGCTTGCGCTGCTTAATCCCATTACCATATATAACCCTTATATAGTCATTATACAACCCCTATATCCCTAGGTAGTCCCCACATTAACCCCCATAAGCTACAAGCAGGTGCAGCAGAGCCCGTCCTGGCTTCGTTCATCGGCACCTGTGCCACTTTGGATGCATGAAAACTAAGGGTTTAGGGTTTAGGTTTAGGGGTATTTTTTACACAAATTCTGGGATTGGATAGGGTTATATGGGGATTATATGGGGTCCCGAGAGTGGAGAATCAAATTGGAGCCAATTTGGACGCATGAAATGTACAAAAGTCTAGGGCGAAAGCTGGATGTTCTCAAAGCATTGTCCCAGCTTTGAGGGGAGATCCTGAATCTTTGATGTAATTCGCTCACCTGTGCCTGAAGAAAAGGTTTGAGGAGAAGGCTGCAACAAGATTACGTAATTCTGAGCAGATTTCTATGAGCAGGGCCAGCATATTCACACATCATGCGTTAAGAATGTTTGCAGTAGAAGGGTTCATGTGGACGGCAAATCTTTTGCTTCCCAGTTTAACATCATCAAGACGTCCCCGGCCGACGTAGTCCTGGAGGCGCCCTGGGCTTGACACTTGAGTGGCGGCGCATGCAAAGCATCTGTGCATGACATGTGTGGGATGTTACACAGACCTGATGAAATTGATGTAGGCGCTGTGTTCGCACGTGTACTTTCCACAGTCTGAAGCGCAAAGTTCCCACATGATGTATGTCAACTGGCCTGCCATGCCTCGTAGTTTACTCTGTGCGGCTGTATGGCTGTATGGCCTACACGGGAGTTTCTCGCCATGGAATGCCAAATAAGGACCCCAATAATTCCCTCATAGTCGCTGTATGTCCCAAAAGGTTTTGCGAAGCCCTGAACTTTCCCTGCACCCTGAACCCTGCACCCCAAAACCCTAAGCCCTAAACCCTAATCCATCCAACCTGAAAGGGTGGCTTAAGCAGGCTTTGGTACAGGGTTTTGGCCAGTGTCAGGTTGATCTCGCTTGCTGCTGCACAGACATAACAGTTGGTGAAGACGACCTGCTTGCTTTGCCTGCTGCCTGGCAGCTGTACATGCGTACTGGCGAGCAGATTTAGTTTTGCGGGTTGTTTTCCGATGCAAACCTCACATGCTTGTCAACCTTTGCCCCAGGACCGCGTTGTGGTAACATTTCCGTGGACCTGTGTGCCGCGGAGAAAAGGTCCCATAAAAAAAACCCTAAACCCTAAACCCCAAACCCTAAGCCCCAAACCATAAGCCCCAAACCATAAGCCCTAAATCCTAAACCCTAATCCATAAACCACAAATCCCTAAAACCCGAACCCGAATCCCTAAACAACGAACCCTAAACCCTGAACCTGGAATTGACTGGATGTCCTGCTCCATTTCATTTTCCATTTTCTTTTCCATTTGATTCTCCATTATTGGGGTCCTTCCTTAAATTAGCCCTAATCTGTCCATTTTCTTTTGCATTATCCCACATGAACCCCCAATTTAACCCTAATAATCCCCAAGCCCCAAACCCCAAGCCCCAAACCCCAAACCCTAAACCCTAAACCCCAAACCCCAAACCCCAAACCCAAAACCAAAACCCTAAACCCGAAACCTTAAACCTGAGTCCGCAGCCAGGAGATGGAGGGTCCGCTTCTCTCCATGGCTATCCTTGCTGCACGGCTTTGGATTACATAGGGGCCTTATAGGGATCGTTTAGGGATTACATAGGGATTATTTATTTAGGGATTATATAGGGAATATATGGGGATTAGTTAGGCATTATAGGGAATATACATAGGGATTATTTAGTGATCATATTGGGATTTTATAGGGTTTACAACTGTTCCCCCCGAAAAATACCAACAATGGAAGGTCACATGGAAAATCACATGGAAACTGGGTATCATGTTGACGTGCAGGTTGAAGACAGCATTTGAAGCTTTTGATGGGAGTTTCCGGAAATCAGCGGCCCCATTTCTGGGCTCTCCATACCAAGGATTTTAGTACATAGAGGTACATAAGGAGGCCCGAATTTATGGAAACTCCTCTTGGGCTGCCACATGACATGCCTGAAGATCCTAGTTTGCCATTGGCATTCCTCGATGAATCCTAATGTTTGGGATGGCAATGGGGCGGCAAAGGGTCTAGGGTTTAGTCTGATGCCGATGTCTTTGGTGCTGCCGGAAGCCTTTGTAAGGTGTAGTCCCCTCTAAAGCCCAGGCCCTAAACTTTGGATACTGTCCCCGCCCAGTAGCAGTTGGATAGCAGTTTTCATAAACTTACATCAGGCCCTCAAAAATTGCCCCTGTTGTCGATTGCTGCCGGGTGGGAGCAGTATCCAGTTGATTCTCCAATATGGGTCTAATATCCCCATAAAATCCCCATGTATATAGTCCCCCTAAGTAGATAGAATGTGGCTTTGGGTATGTCATAGTAAGATCCCTCTATACCCTGGGCACAGACGAAGGCCTT